AATCCCTTATGACACCAAGGAGGTAGCATCAGGTTGCGACCGAACTGACAGCTTGGACTCTGCCCCTGCCTTTCCCCTAGGGTACCTGAGTGGCATCATCCCTAACCATCATAGACAGGGACTGGTCTCTCCTGACACATGCCCACGGTCCGTGAGACAAAGTCTCACCATCCTTGCCTCTAAGGAGCATTCTGGTGGTACTTCCTTCCCAGACTGATCTGTTTGTTCTTCTGACAGTCCCTGGGACTTACAATAATCTTCTCCGGCACCGCAATCCAAATTTGTCGGTTTGTCTTCTATCTTCCTTATTCAATACCCCACTTTGACATGCAGATGAAGTGACTGGAGATACCAGGGCTTGGGTCAGGCCCTTCTTAGTCCTCAGAGTAACATCCTTGCTTTTCAACACTTTAAAAAAGTCTTGTGCAGCAGGCCCACCCAATGGGATACGCCAGAATCCAGTCAATGGCAGTGGGTTTGGGCTTTTAGCGACCTTCAAAGGGTAACAGAAGGCCTTGGGAAGTATTCAGACAGGATTAGCGTCACACCTGAGCATGAAAAGACCAGCTTGTCACAACACAGAACCCTGACCTTCCCGCACACAATCCCTCTCCAACATCTGCATTTCTCAACCAGCTGTCATTTTTGGCAGGTGCTACCAAGTCAGTTCCCACCGATAGCGACCCTCTGCCCCACAGAACAAAAGGCTGCACCTGCACCATCCTCACAACGGTGGCTATGCCTGAGCCCATGGTTGCAGCCATGGTGTCAATCCATCTCATTGAGGACCTTCCTCATTTTCACTGCCCCTCCACTTCAGTAAGCATGATGTCCTTCTCCAGAGACTGGTCTCTCCTGACAACAGGTCCAAAGTAAACAAGCACCCCTGTGGAATTCAGGAACAACTGTGAGGGGGTAGCTACTGAAGAAGTCGAGAGGGGGTGGGGCGCTCCTAGTTCTCAGAGAGTCTGGGTGCTTGGGGTTCGCCAGGGAAGCAGCCAGCTGAGGAAAGGTTCTCAAAGGAGGTTCAAGCATCTGAAGGGTTTGGGGTGAAGCAGCAGAGTCAGAGGCAAGGGGGTAGTGAGTTAAGATGGGAAGTTGATGTGGGCTGAGACCAGTGGCCAGAGCATTGGCTGGAGGTGGGGGATGGGGGTGGGGGGAGCCAGGGGTGCTGAGGGCCTGGGTTTTGAGAGCAGGAACGGGGAGGCACGTGCTGAGGAACCTCTGTTTTCTTGGTGAAGAAGGAGCTGAGCTGAGAGTCTCGGTGAAGAAGGAACAGAGTCTAGCCTGCCAATCAGGATTTAGCCAATGAGGCCTCTGTGTGGACATGGCCTTCTCCTGAGGATTCTGGGAACTCTGGTAATTCCTCCTTGGAAGCCAAAGACTCTCTCTCTCTTCACTCCCTTGGAGACTTTCTACTGAGAAGGCTCACTCCCTGTGAGATGCCACCTGAAGCCATCCTGAGGCAGTCAGAGTTTCGTAGCTGAAGGAACCAGGTGGAGACCCCTGCCAGTGCCAAGATGCTTACAATGCCATTGGATCCACAATACTTCCCACCCACTGGCCTGTGATCTTCCTGCACTCGGAGTCATTGCATGTGCTTTGTGAGTCTGAAGAGGAGTTTATAGATTGGTATCAGACTTATAGGCTAATACGGGCTAATGGACTTGATCTGGACTGGACTGGGATGTTTTCTCAATATTCAAGTGCTCTTGTATACAAACCTCTTTCCTATACACACGAGTGTCCATGAATGTGTTTTTCTAGTCTACCCGGACTGACACAGTGTGAAACAGCCTGAAGAGGGCTCTGTGAGGAGGCATCCCTGAGGACGAAGAGGCTCATGGGAAACACCATGGGCTGCTGGGAAGTGCAGCCAAAATGGTCCATAGGAACGAGGATGGGGAGACCGCAATGCACAGACTTGGGAAATATTATCAGGAGGGACCGGTAATGAAGAAAACCCCTCACCAAGCCACACCCACTGCCATGGGGTCGATGCCGACTCACAGCGACCCTATAGCGCAGGGTAGACCTGCCGCTGTGGGTTCCCGAGACTCACTCTTTCAGGAGTAAAACGCCCCGTCTTCTCCCTCAAAGCCGCGGGTGGTTTTGAACTGCTGACCTTGCTGTTAGCAGCCCAATGCATAACCAGGATGCCATCAGGGCTCCTCATACAACTAGGGTAAAGACGGGATCAGAGAAGAAGGAAGACATAGGCCCCCAAGGAGATGGATTGATAGTGTGGATCCAACAATGGGCTCCAACGCAGGGACCATTGCGAGGATGGCGCAGGACCGGGCAGTGTTTCGTTCTGTTGTGCGTAGGGTCACCATGAGCCAGAACCACCTTCCAGGCCCTTAACAACAACAACAATGCTAAGTCCTGTGTGGCACAAACAGTTATATGCTTAGCTATTAGACACAAGGTTGGTGGTTCGAACCCACCCGGAGACATCTCTGTCCCTTGGCTTCTGAAGGTCACACAGCCTTGACACCAATAGCACATAGGGGCCATTGTGAGCCGCAGTCAGCTGGACAAGCAGCAGACAGCCACCATCCACCAGCCCCCGGCAGCTTCCCCTTTTCCGAGCAGAGTTCCAGTTCCTTCTCCCTCCCCTGGGAAGGCTCTGTATTTTGGCATCTTGTGTCATTTCTTGCTTAAGATTTCATTTTTAAATAGCTGTGACACTTCCCCTGTCCATACATGACTCTTGTCCACCTCCGGAGGCCCGGCTGGTCTCCCTTCACCCCCTCCTGCATTCTTTCAGACATTTCGCCATCTCCTGGGAGAGCGAGTGGCCCTTCATTCCTGCCTCCTCAGGTCTCTGTTTGGGGGTTACAACACTTCCGTCATTTTCCAGTTGCCTCTACCCCCGTGCCTCCGCCTTCCCCTGGTCCCTGGCCGCACCCCCTTCTCCCTGTAAGCGCAGCTTCTCAGCCCCGGCCTGGTCCATCTGCACGTCCCTTTTAGTGCCAGGAGGATGCCCTGGGAGGGAACTGGATGTATAATCTGTAGGTCCCGGGGAAAGATGACGCTATGGGGCTCCTTGATTAAACATGATCGAGAACGTCCAGAGGGTGACATCAGACCCTTATACTGCGAGTGGGCCTGCGGGGTAAAGGAGCTCATTTCGCCCTAAGGAAGGTGGCCTTTTCCTTCATGCTGGAAAATAAATGCTGGAGTCCCTTGGGTGCTGGGGCCCGGGGCTTCCAGGCCAAACCTGAGGATTTGAGTTGGTGAGAGGGGGTTGACCAGATGCGGAAAAACCTCAGAGGGAGGTCGTCAGCCAGTCCCTCACTTAGCGAGTTGACTCCAATTATAGACAAAAGTAGAACTGCCTCTGTGGGTTTCACAGACTGTAAGGCTTGATGGGAGTAGAAAGCCTTGTCTTTCTCATACAGAGCAGCTGCTGGTATCAAACCACTGACCTGTAGTTAGCAGCCCGATGCATAAAGTACTATATGCCACCAGGGCTCCTGGCAGCTAGTCTCCAGTGGAGTGATTTTGCCCATCACACAGCCACACGTCATCCCTGGCTGTCCTGTCGGACCCCATAGGACAGAGTAGAACTGCCCCACAGGGTTTGTGAGGCTGTAGATCTTTACGGAACTAGCCTGCCTCATCTTTCTCCTTCAGAGTGGCTGGTGGGTCTGAACCACTGACCTCTCAGTTAGCAGCAAGCGCTTAAGCCATGGCCAACATTGTTCCTTTACCATGCAGGGCTGGCTCCTAAAAGGGGCCCAGGGAGACACCAGGAGGCAGCAGGTCAGGAAAGAGAGGGGGCTGTGTGTGGATGCCTGAGCCTGCCATGGCATCCGGAAGGTGGGAACCAGGCCGGAACCTGTGACCAGCAGGCCAGTAGAGTGGGGTGTCTTGTGGGTTCCCCCAACATGTGGCTGACTCTGTCCTTCTAACTCCTGGGCTCTGACTGGGCTCCGGATGGCAAGGCTCAGGGAGGGAGGGAGGGCCACAGGGTGCTGGCAGTGTGGTGGAGAAGTGGCTGGATCTACCTCCACTTCTGGGCGCTGATTCCGTGCTGGCCCTGATTTCATGGGGCCCTTGAAAGCTGAGGGACCCTGTGCAACTGCAAGATTTGTTGCCGTGACTTATTATTTTAGTCACCCATCTCTCTGAATCCGTTCTGTTTCCCTCTTGCTACCTCTAACTACAACTTTAACTTGCTGGATTTCATGCAACGTAGCCCTGGGGGTGCCGTGAGTTACGAGTTAGGCTGCTAAACAAGGTCAGCAGTTCAAACCCACCAGCCGCTCTATGGGCAAAAGACGAGGCTTTCTGTCCCCATAGAGAGTTGCAACCTCAGAAACCCACAGAGGCCGTTCTTGCCTGTTCTACAGCATTGCTGTGAGTCTGAACAGACTTGGGGCAGCGGGTTTGGCTTTGGAAGATTGTGTCAAGAGGCTCAAAGGAACCAAAGGCGACATGGGGTTTCACTCCCTGCTCCACTCCGTCATCGCTTCTGACCCGGACGAGGCCAGGCGGCTCAGCTGTCTCAGAAGCTGGTGCTTGGGTGTTTCCTGTGACTGCAGTCCCTCAAAGTCATGCCATGAGGTGAACCTGGCACTGGGGGTTGGGGGCAGCTCCCTACGGGGCCCAAAGAGAAGTGGGGAGGTGCCTTTGGATTGGGCTATGGACTGCGTGTGGCCAGAGCAAGCGTTTACTGAATAACGGCTGGCAGGACTTCAGCACTGGCTGCTGGGACACAACAGCCTGTCTTTCCAGACTTGAGCCGCCTCAGCTCCCTCGTGGCCTCGCTGCGTGGTGTCAAGAAGCGGCGCATGCAAAGGGAACTGGAAGGATAGAAGCTCCTTGGAAGAAAGGCCTGCGATCGGCTCTGAAAACGCAACCACGGGTCATGCTATGGAGCCAGGTCCACAGGACACTCACGGGGCGGCCAAGAGGTGGAGCTGGTCTTGAAGCTCCGTGCGAGCTGTTTCGGCTGCCCTCACCCCGCCCCAGCCCGCGGGCCCACCACCTACTTGTTGGTCTGCCTCTGGTGCTGGATGACCATGTTCTTCTCGTGGATGGTCTCCAGCAGGGCCGTGGCCAGAGACTTCAGGTCTGCGATGGACTGCGGAGTGGCCGGGAGGCTGCACCCGTGCTCCTCGGAGAGCAGATCCTGGACTGCGGGGAGGAGACAGAATTCACCGTTCAGTCTCAAGTTCTTGTGGGACACAAACCAATGCCAACTTCCCCTGAACCGGAGGCTGCCATACCCAGCTTCTTGGTGCTGCTGGGCAGGGGGTGGGTGGTGTGGGTGGGGACATTAAAAGAGTCAACCAGAAGCAGCAAAAGCAGAACAGAATCAAATTCAGGTAGGAAGGAAGAGAAAGGAGTGCGTTCTCATGAACTCTGATCAACTTTTTTCAAGAGGGTCAGAGTCTCTCACATGTGTGAATCCAAGTCTGAGAAACCTGACACGGGGGCTGCCACAGGCTGACATAGAGCAGCCCTGTGGGTTATAAGTTGGACTGGTAGCCACAAAGCCAGCAGTTGGAAACCCCCAGCTGCCCGCTGGAGAGAGATGAGGTTGCCTACTCTTGTAGAGTTATGGACGAGGAAACCCACCGGCGTAGTTCTGCCCTGTCCTGTACGGTCGCTGTGAGTCGGAATCCACTTGATGTGTTTCATAGGTCTGAGACTATCGTACGAACTCATCTGAGATGGAAAATGAAGGCAAAGGAAGCCTGAGCATTGTTATTCAGGCTCATTTTCTGCACGAAAGCCACTGAGGCACAGGTGGGGTAATAGCGTCCTCCGAAAGTCACACAACCATGCACGTGACAGTGACTGAGAGGAGCCACTTGGCTTCCTATCACAGCGTTTCTTGATGTGGAACCCCTGGTGGGTGGCAAGGTGACCAAGGGAGATTGTTACAAACATTTGTATTTTAATAGAGATATGTTCATGGACGGCAGTTCAAAAATGAATAAATATGCCATATATACCCATGTATAACCCGAGTTTTTCAGCACATTTTTTGGATATTTTGTTCAATATAATTAAAGTGAAACTATATAAACAATGACTAGAATAATAATACTTTGCAACAAATATTGTATTGGGAGAATTTTTACAACATATATTCAAAAACATTCAAATTACAACGAAAATTGTATAAACTTTCTGATTTCCTATCAAAATGTACATCCAATAACTTATCTGTAGTTTTTAAAATGGTACAAATATGCAAATCAACAAGAATTTAATCTAAGTATTCTTCAGATTAGTTGAATTTTTTTTCAAAGTTTAAAACAGGATCCTTTCATCCACTGATTTATAAAACGTTATATTTTCAACTCAACAACCAAATACAGAAAATCTCAAATCCCACTCACCCCCATTTTAACAAATAAGAGGTATTTGAAATTCTTTAAAATGTAAAAGGCCTTTAAAATTTCTGTCCTCCAAACTAAACTCATTGCTGTCTGATCAATTCCAACCCTTCGCTGCTGTGACAAAGGAGGGCTGCCCTGCAGGTTTCCAGGGCTGTCTGTCATCTTTACTGAAGGGCACTTCCTTCCACAGATCTCTCCCCAAGAGGGGGTGTCGGGGGTGGACTCAAACCACAAGCCTTTTGATTAGCAGCCAAGCACTTAACAGCTGGGCCACCAGGGCTCCTTGACATTAAAATAAAATCTATACACCATTATCAGCACATTTTTAATGCAGTTTTTGTGGTAAAATTAGGTGCCTCGGCTGATATTCCCCACATTTAGACGTTTATAATCTGTTGCATAATTTTTTGCCAGATCCTTGTATTGATATTCCTGATATATACTCGATTTATACTCGAGTATATACGGTAAATGGCACAGCAGATCGCACAGGTATAAAACCAGACTCACTGCCATTGGGTTGATTCCAGCTCATAGCAATGCTACAAGGAGCCCTGGTGCATAGTGGTTACATGTTAGGCTGCCAACCTCAAGTCCAGCAGTTCAAAGCTACCAGCCGCTCTGTGGGAGAAAGACAGTGCTTTCTACTCCCATAAAGAGTGACAGTCTCAGAAACCCGCAGGGGCAGTTCTACTTTGTCCTATAGGATCGCTGTGAATCAGATACACACGAGGGAGCTTCCAAAAGTTTGGGGAAAAGTGAAATAAAAAGATAATGGAATTTCCCCCAAAACTTTATATAGCCACCTCGCATTATGAATTAGAATCGGGGCCCAGTAAATGAGCCACTTTAAAAATCAATGTAATGAAACCTATTAGTAATCGTATATGTGATACAAGCCACTGCTATCATATCAGTTCTGACTCATAGTTGGAACCCCAAACAGGGGTTCTGACACTCTAAATCTTCACAGAAGCAGTCAGCCTCATCTTTCTCCCATAGAGCGGTGGGTGGGCTTGATCTGCCCACCTCAGTTTTAGCAACCCAGCACTAGCGTACAGCGCCAGTAAGGCTCCTTAAGTAGTACAGGGATCTGGCAAAAAATTATGCAACAGATTATAAACATCTAAATGTGGGGAGAGGTCATTTTACACAAAGACTGCTTCTGCTTGCTTGGGATTTCACAAACTTCCAAACCACACCCACGGTCAAATTCAGCCCAGAAGCAGCCTCCGCAGCTCAGGGCAATGGAAGGACTCAGGGTCCTGTGAGTCAGCCCACCCGCTCCGCCGGAGGGGAGCCTGTTTACCAACTGCCAGTCCACTGTGCCTGGCTCTGAGGGCCATACATGCTTCGACCTCTCTTCTGGTTTCAGCAGTGATAACTTTAAAAAGAAATGTTTCTGGATTTTTTCTTTAAATAAGAGATTCCCAACTTCGAGGGGAACAAATGTTTCCTGGCGTATCTAAACTAAAAACCGACCCCACTGCCCTCGGGTTGACGCCAACTGGCAGCAGCAGGTCCAAGGCTTCCACAGGACGGCACCGGAGGGTTTCCTGGCTGCCATCTTTGGAGAAACCAATTACCAGACCTTTCTTCCTTGAAGCTGCTTTAGGTTAGCAGATGACTACAAACCACTTATGCTACCTAGAGACCTGATTTGTATGTTTACAGACAAACTCGAAACGCACTGCCATCCAGCCGATTCTGACTCACGGTGACCCTAAAGACAGGGCAAACTGCCCCTCTCTGTCTCTGAGACGGTAACTCTTTACAGGAGTAGAAAGTCCTGTCTTTGTCCCACCCGCGGTGTGCCTGGTGGTTTCGAACTGCTGACCTTGTAGTTAGCAGTCCAACGTATAACCAGGGCTCCTATGTCTATCAACAGTCACATGATATCCAAATTTAAATGTGAGGGGTTATACCGTCTTATTTGTCTAGTAAGAGCCCATGGACTGATCGTCTTTTGATCCTTTTTTGTCAGTGTTGCTACATGCTGTCAAGTCAATTTCAATTCAAAAAAACCCCCTGGGACAGATAACTGTTGGGCTGTTAACTGCAAGGTCAGCAGTTCGAAACCACTAGCTGCTCCTCAGAAGAAAGACAAGGCTTTTGGTTTCTGTAAAGATTTAAAATCTGGAAACCCACAGGAGCAGTTTATTGTGTCCTATAGGGTCTCTATGAGTAGAGTCAACTCCATACTGGGAGTTTTGGATGCTTGGTTTATCACACCCTTCAAGGAGCCCTGGTGGCAGTGTCAGGCAAGCATGGGTCTGCTAATCACAAGGTGGGAAGTTCAAACCCGCCAGCAGTTCTTCTGGGAAAAGATGAGGCTGCTGCTCCTGGAAATATTTACAAAACCTCATGAACTCTGTAAAGCAGTGGTTCTCAACCTTCCTAATGCCACGACCCTTTCATACAGTTCCTCATGTTGTGGTGACCCCCACCCATAAAATTATTTTCATTGCTACTTCATAACTATAATTTTGCTACTGTTATGAATCGGGCGACCCCTATAAAGGGTTGTTCAACCCCGAAAGAGGTCGAGACCCACAGGTTGAGAACCGCTGCTATAAAGGGTCATGATATTTTCAATATTCTTCGCCAACAGCATAATGGAGAGGCATTCATTCTTCTTTGGTCTTCCTTATTCATTAGCCAGCTTTCACATGCGGATGACGTGATTGAAAATACTTGGTTCAGAAGCACCTTAGATCTCCAAGGGACGGCTGTGCTTGTTAACGCATTAAAGAGGTCTTCCGAAACAGATTTGCCCAGTGCAATACATCCTTTGGTTTCTTGGCCGCTGCTTGTATGGACAGTGATTGTGGATCTAAGTAACATGAAATCCTTGACAGCTTCCATTTCTTCTGTGTGTATCAGGATGTTGCTTAGTGGCCTAGTTGTGAGGGCTTTTGTTTTCTTTGTGATGAGGTGGGATCCAAACTATCACCTTCGATCTTCACCAGGAAGTGGTTCAAATCCTCTTCAATTGCAACAAAGGATAGGCTAACCAGATGTTACAAGTTGTTAACGAGTCTTTCTCCAATCCTCAAGTCATGTTCTCGTCCAGAAAGTCCAATTTCTGGGATTAGTTGTTCAGCATACAGATTGGGTAAATACGGTGAAAGGATAAAACCCTGGCACATAGCTTTTCCAATTCTGAACCCTACAGGACTCCTTCGTTTGCTCCAAGTATTGTCTCTTGGTCCACGTACACACTCTCCTTCAGTATCATTAAGTATTCCAGAATTTCCGTTCTTTACAATACTACTCACGGTTGCTATGGTTCACATAGTTCAATGTCTTTGCACTGTCAACAGGTAAAGGTCAACATCGTTCTTGTTCTCTCTGTTCTGGCCAAGGTGCATCAGTAAATGAATGGTATGCCTCATTCGGATATCCTCTTCTGAATTCAGTTTGACTTTGTGGCAGCTCTTTGATATACTACCACAACTGTTTCTAAGTATCTTCAGCAAAATTTCACTCATGTGTGATATGAATGATATTGTTTGATGATTCTCATACACTATTGGGTCTCCCTTCTTTGGAATGGGCATACATATGGATTGGTTACAATTGTTTGCCCAGGTAGCTGTCTTCCAAATTTCTTGGCATAGGCAAGAGGGCACGTACAGGGTTGCATGTATTTGTTGTTAACACTTTAGTTGGTATTCCTTCACTTCCTGAAGCCTTGTTTATCACCAATGCCTTTAATACAGCTTGCATTCTTCTTTCGGTATCATCAGGTCTTGAGCACATCCTAGTTCCTGAAACAGTGGAATAGCAACCCATCTTTCCTGGTAGAGTGACTTCTCATATTCTTTCCATCTTCTTTCTTATGCTTGTGCATCATGCAACATTTTGCCAATAAAATCCTTCAGTATAGCAACTCAAGATGAATTTTCGTCAGTTCTTTCTGCTTGAAAAATGCTGAGAATGCTCTTATGTTTGGGTTTTCTATTTCCATGTTTTTCACATTTTATTGTAATACTTTACTTTGTCTTCTAGAGCTTCCCTTTGAAATCTGTTCACATCATTTCTGCCACTTGCCTTAGAGGCTCTACATTCAAGAGCAAGTTTCACAGTCATTTCTGGCATCTTTTTGCCTTACATTCATCAAGTCTTTGGTCACTAGTATTCAAAGCATCAAATCTCCTCTTGAGATGCTCTCAAAATTCAGGTGGGATAGACTCAAGATCTTACTTTGGCTCTCATAGACCTTTATAAATTTTTCTTCAGCTTCAATTTGAATTTGCATATGAGAAATTGATGGTCTGGTCTACAGTTGGCTTTGTTTTAATTGATAATACTCCGCTTCTCTATCATTTCTTTCCACAGAGTTGGTTGACTTGATTCCTGTGTCTTCCATTTGGCAAGATCCACTAGATGCCATTGGTCTGACAATATGTTATCATCTGACCTCCAGCATCATTTCTATCACCAACACCATATTACCCAACTGCCATCATTCTTTTTTGTTTCTAACATTCACATTCCAATCACCAGTAATTCTCAGTACATATTTATTGCAGGGTTGATCCATTTCACTGCAGAAGCTGGTAAAATATCTTAAAATTCTTCAATTCTGACATTAGTGGCTGGAATGTACACTTGAATAAGAGTCATATTAATTCATGTCCATTGTAGTTGTATATCTATTATCCATTGGTATACTTCAGGACAGATCTTGAGATGTTATTTTTGATGACAAAGGTGATACGATTTCTCTTCAATTTTTTATTGTCAGCATAGTAGATGGTAGGATTGTCTGAAGGAAGAAGGGCCTGGCAATGCATTTGCATCTACTTTATTTAATTACTGCTAAACACAACTGGATGACTCTATAACATCATGATGAATGGAGAAACAATTGGATTTATCAAGGTTTTCATCTTGCTTGGATCCACAATCAATGCAGTGAAGAGACCAAAAGCATTGCATTGGGTGACTCTTCTATGCGAGACCTCTTAAAGGGTTGAAAGGCAAAGATACCGTTCTGAAGACTATGGTTCACCTAATCTGTGGTAGTTACATAATCTGGTGTCAATTTGAGACTATTAAGAGTGAAGGGGTGGAGAATAGCCTGTTAATCAGGTTGCAGCTTGATGACCTCACTCTGGAGGCGCAATGGAGATAAATAACTAACTGGAGGCCAGACACACACTCTCTCAATGTCTTCCTGCTGACAAGCCACATGGAGCTCAGCTGATTGCAGCCAGGGCCCTGGAGCTGGAGGAGCCATGTGGAGACACCCACTAGCACTGAGACACTTCCACCACCACTGAATCCACAAGACTTTCCACCTATTGGCCTGTGATTTTCCTGTATTCAGCTTCTTGCATAGCTGTGTAAGTCTAAAGAGGAATTTATGGACTAGTATCAACATATGGGATAATGTCAGACTTAGGGACTCGATCTGGCCTAAACTGGAATGTTTTCTTAATGTACAATTGCTCTTTGATATGAAGTTCTCTCTTACACATATATAAGTGTCTCTGGATTTGTTTCTCTAGTCTACTCAGTCTAACACATAACCCAAGCCATGCTATTGTCAATCGCCTCATACTCATGTGAAAGTTGGACACTGAATAAGGAAAGCTGAAGAAGACTGGATGCATTTGAACGACGGTGCTGGTGGAGAATACTGGAAGTGTCACAGACTGCCAAAAGAACCAACAAATCATCTTGGAAGTGGTAAAGCCAGGATGCTCCTCGGAAGCAAAGACAGTGTGGTTTTGTCTCATGTGCTTTGGACACGTTGTCAGGAGAGACCAGTTCCTAGAAAAGGACAGGAAAGCCCTGGACAAGATGGACTGACACCATGGCCATGACAATGGGCTCAGGCATTGGACTGGGTGGTGTTTGATTGTACATAGGGTGGCTGTGAGTTGCAGCGGAAGACTGGAGGACAACAAAAATATATTTGTGTTGTTTCCAATTATTCTTATTATAAGGAAGCCATGAAGAACCTGTACTTGCATCTCGCTGGCTCAAAGCTTTGCATGACATGCTGTCAAATTCTGATCCTCAGATGTTAGGTCTGATTTACCACTGTCCCCTCATTCACCACATGGATGAAAGAAAACACGGGACGCTCAACATTCCAAAGTGCTTTGTTAAGTCTGGCATCTGGAACGAAACTTAGATGGGCATCTTCACCGCTACAAAAGGGGAGCGTTGTGGCTTTCTCGCAGCAAACAGTTCTAGTTCATCCTTTCCCAGTGAGCTGAGTAGAGACAAGACAGTGGTTGGGAAAGAGCCCCAGTTGTTGGGTGGGCTGGAGACTCCCACTTTCATCATCAGCGGTTTTTATCAGCCACTCCCGCTCCAATGAAGACCACCACATTTGGGGGCCACTGGTCAGCAGGGCCAACGACCCCCAAAGTGGGCCAGCTGAGCACGCATCCAACTCCAGGCTCGTGTTTAGATCGGCGCTCCGAATATTAAGTGTCAAAAATGAGCTCACTGCTATGTATTCCCTGGCCTGCTCCTGGAAGATCATTATTTTTCATTGGGATCGACAAGGAGGAGGGACAACATTGCAATCAATAAAAGCTCCTTCAAGAAAAGGCACGCGGTCCATGATTAAAAAGGATTGCAGGGGCTCAGGGACCTTTCTATTCTGAGCTTAGAGGACAGGAGAAGGAGAAACTGGGAGAGGTGAAACCTAGCCCATGGGCGATTAGAGGAGAACCATTCCTGACAGGGGATCCCAGTGTGGGGGTGAGGGGATACCCCACTGTCAGCCAGTCATGACAACACCCTCCACTGCAGCAGTTCTAACAGCGGGGTCCTAGAAGCACCATCACCTGGAATCTTTTTAAAGAAAATTCATATTCCCAGGTTCCTCCTCAGCCCCAGAAATAGGAATCCCTTAAAAAGGAAAACAAAACTTCCCTCTTTGGAGTACTGAAAAGCAAGGAAGTTGCTTTGAGGACTCCGGTGCACCTGACTCGAGACCTGGTATTTTCCATCACCGCAGATGCGAGTGACAGTTGGACACTGAATAAGGAAGAACAGATGCATTGGGATGGTGGTGCTGGTGAAGAAGAGGGGAAGTACCGCGGACTGCCAAGAGGGCAAACCAATCTGTCTCCGAAGAAATACGGTCAGCGTGCTCCTCCGAGGCGAGGATGGTGAGACTTCATCTTACAGACGCTGGATGTCAGCAGAGACTCGTCCCTTGGGTGGGACATCATGCTTGGTAGACGGAGAGCAACACGGAGAAGGCCCTTAAGGGGGTGGACAGACACCGTGCTGCAGCAATGGGCTCAAGCAGGGGAACCGTTGTGAGGACGGTGCAGTACTTGGTCGTGCTTCACCCTGTAGGGCATAGAGTCGCTAAGGGTCAGAACCCACTCAGGGGCACCTGCCAGAATCAGCCCCTTCGGGGTGGGGCCCGAGCTCCTGTGTTTGCACCAAGCCTCTAGGCAATTCCAAAGTGGACCGGGGTTAAGGAACCAGCACGCTACAGATCTCTCTGTTTCCCCATCACAAAACAAGTGGGCCAGGCAAGACGGTGCCCGTGGGGACGCACACTCCCAGAACTCTCCACCAGGAGCAGTTCCTCCCAGAAAAGGAAGTCCTACCTTGCTTTGCAGACAAGACCCCCGTCAGAGCGCTGCTGTTGGATTTGCCCTGGCTCTTTGAGTTTTTCCGTCTCTCAAGAGCATTCTAGAGTGGCATTGGGGGGAAAAGAGGAGACAGAAAACCCACATTAGGATATTGAAGAATGACCCAATACCTAGGTACAGCAGTTGTAGCCTCCCGCCCTCCACACAAAAATCCCTGGCCCTATATTTGGAATTCTGAGTCTCGGAGTAAGGATTATGCCCACGATCAGTTAGGCAGCACAGGGCTGAGTGATGTCGGGCAAGAAGTCACTGTGCGTGGCGCCATGTCGATGGCACCTAACAAGAACAACACATTGTGGTGGACTTTATGGTTCCAACACAGAGTTCAAAGTGGGTCGTGCAGCATGCTATCTACCGATCCCAGCCTGCCGACAAAAGGCACTCAGTGTGTATTGGTTAGAATAAGTCTAATCTGAAGCAGAAACAGTCTCACATGTGAAGGCACTAATTATGGGGCCTCTTCCCAACAGACCTTGCGATGGAGACTAGGTTTGCTCTCATGCGATGGTTCAGCTCGATAGATAAGGCTGGTGGTATTGGCAAGGTGCTGTGACCCTGGTGGTGCAGAGGTTACACGATGGGCTGTGAACCACATGGTCGGCAATTCAAAACCACCAGCAGCTCCACCAGGAGAGAGACTGAGCTTTCTACTCCCATAAACAGTTATAATCTCATAAACTCACAGCGGGGCTGGGGGGTGGGGGGGGGGGGTGTCGCTATTATTCAGCATTGACTCCAGGAGAGTGAGTGGTTTGAGTTCGGTGGCTGAATGTCAAAGAGCCAGGATTGATTAGTGCTGTCTGCCATGGACACAAGATTGGGGGAAGTGCCTCTGAGCCAGTGATTGGCACACACAGGGACACCTCATTTGATCGGGCTTCACGTTCCTGTGCTGTGCAGGTAACGGCATTTGTTTTTTTACAAATTGAAGGTCCGTGGTAGACTGCGTTCAGCATGTGTGGCCCTGTGTGCTCACTTCTTGTTTATGTGTCACGTGATAATAACTCTTACAGTGTTTCACATGCTTTCATCTTGCTGTGGACACTCACTGGACCAAAGTATCAGATGAGCATAACTTGTACAGGCTCTGGGTCAGCAAAGAGCTCATGACACCCTTTATTGCAGCCTTCACCATATTGCCAAGCTTCGGAACAGACCGGGCAGTACCTTGAGGTTTACCCGAGGTAGCAGAACTGAGTCAAGGTTGTGAAATGAATGAATGCACACCTTTGAATATATATTTTAAAAGGCATACATGTTTGGGAACTGCCATGTCCTTGGGCTGCACAGGTCCATACAGGACCCGCACGACTGAGAAGGTGGCCCCACAATAGGGGAAGGAAGGTGGAATGGAGTTGTTTGAGAAAGGAACGCTAACGTGAAAAGCCAGGGGGCTGAGAAGACTCCCCCAGGCTCCAGACGGCTGCCAATCTTCACCCTCAGGAAGAGAAACCAATCTCTTTTCAAAGCAAAGAGACCCAGGAGAGTTTTCTAATTATAACACTGACAACATCTGCAGAAATAGGTGTGATCAAAGGAGCGGGCTGGGATGGGACTGGGTGACAATGGGGAGAGTGGGCGTGCTCTGGCCTTGCAGTGGGCATGGCCACGAGGTCATATTGGGACTGCCCAGTCTGGCGCTTCCTCTCTCTGAGCCCAGGTTCTGATGGGCCTGAGGAGACAAGCAGCACTTGGGCTGGCCGTGCAGCAGAAAAGCCAGAGCTAACCCACCAACTCAATGCTGTGGAGCCAATTCCAACTCAGATCCACCCTGCAGGGCAGAGTAGAAATGGACCCCATAGAACAGAGTAACACTGGACCTTATGGAACTGGACCTCATAGGTCAGAGAACTAGCACACATAGGGCAGAGTAGAACTGGACCCCATAGGACAGAGTAGAATTGGACCCCATAGGACAGAATAGAACTGGACCCTGTAGGACAGAGCACAATTGGGTTCTATAGGACTGAGTAGTATTGGCCCCTACAGGGCAGAGTAGAACTGCTCCTGTGTGTTTCTGAGTCTGTAAATCTTTATGGGAGTAGAACACTTTATCTTACTCCCTCGGAGAGGCTGGTGTGTTTGAACCTCTGAACTTTTGGTTAGCACTTCAATAAGAAGTCCCACTACACTATCAAGGCTCCTTAAAAAAACTAAATAAGGAACCTTATTTCATAGGAAGTGAGGAACCGTGGCAGGATAGAGGCTACGCATTGAGCTCCTAACCCCAAGGTCTGCAGTTCGAAACCACCAGCTGCTTCCCACCATCAAGTGGGAAGATCTGTTAAGAGCTACAGTCTCCGAAACCTACAGGGGCAGTTCTACCCGGTCCTGTAGAGTCGCTATGAGTCAGAATCCGCTTGGTGGCAGTGAGTTTGTCTGCTTTGAGGTCGCGAAGTGGGCCAATCCAGATTCCCTCCATGGGCACTCCCAGGAGGTCTGGCCACCAGCTGTTCGGGTCTCTGTGCTGCTCGGGGCTCCAGACCCTCTGGTGTTGGCGGTTCTGGCTCTCACGGGGTGGAATGAAGGGGAGGGGGGGAGGGGGGAGGCCCACACAGAAATATCTCTGGCACATGAACGAGGATGAAAATAGCATGACATTTAGAAGCACAATAGTGAGTCATCGTCATTGTCCCTGCGGTTCTGCTACCTTGTATTTGGCAATGTTAGATTTCAGGAGGTTGGCCTCCTCGTGCAGTTGCTTCAGTCGCTCCTGCAGGTACCTAGGAGAGAACACAGACACCAGGGAGTCCTTGCAGGAGCGCAGCGCCTCAGCATTCCGCCCCCGTGAGCCAGGAGGGCAGCTGTTCGAACCCAGCAGGTGGCTCAGCGGGAGGGAGAGAGGGCCCTGCTCCTATAAAGCTGAGAGCCCAGAAGTCCCAGTTCTGCGCTGCTGCGGGGGCTGCTCTGAGTTGGCAGCAACTGGAC